ACCGTCTGTCCAGCCATGGTCAGAACTTACAACCACCGAAATCTATTAGTAAGCCACTAGTAGAACTGCGACGCTTTGTACGCCGACGGTTGTGGCGCTGCCAGTGACCTCTGACGGTGGCGACAGACGTTCAGTACATAGATTGGTGATAGACCAGGTTCGTGCTAGATATAGACTATATATAGGTTCGTGCTAGATATAGACTAGGACATCGATTGCTGCTAGATTGGTATAGATAGGCTGGTTGGGGGAGGGGGAGGGGGTGGTGGCGGTGTTTTCTGCGGAGACATCCCGCGGTGGGGGGAGGGGTGGTGGCAGTGTTTTCTGCGGAGAAATTCCGCGTTGGGGGAGGGAAGGGTGGTGGTGGTGTTTTCTGCGGAGACATTCCGCGGTGGGGGGAGGGGTGGTGGCGGTGTTTTCTGCGGAGACATTCCACGTTGGGGGAGAGGGAGGGGTGGTGGTGACGTTTTCTGCGGAGACATTCCGCGGTGGGGGGAGGGGTTTTTAATCCGGACGAGGGTAGAGCCCGCCGTTTGTTTCGAACCCCGTGAGAAATATGCGAGACATTTTTCGGTGAGATTTTCTGAATGGTTATCGGGTGGCGTGAGAGACTGAGCGTTAAGGGGGTGGGGCAGAGTTGCACAGAGACAAAAGCAGCTCTGCGGGGCGGGGGGAGGGGGTCGTTTAGTTTGTTGACACGAAAAGCGCGCCATTTCGCTTTCGATTGGCGGGAAAACATGTGAAATGAAGGTATTTCCTTCTTAAGATCTTTTCCTTCTTAATCGTCCTTTGTACCTGGGGATGTAAATTTGAATTATCGACACAGCACCTTGGGAACAAAATTAATTTACATAATATCCGTCTCTGTCTTTCCTCGCTTTCTGTCTCCCACTCCCTCAACCTCTCTTACAATTGCTATAATATCCCTCCCGTGCTCTCTCGTGCCATCCCTTTCTCTCTCTCTCTCTCTCTCTCTCTCTCTCTCTCTCTCTCTCTCTCTCTCTCTCTC